TCCCCATCACTGGTCTAGGCTAAGGTTCTTTACACTGCTACAGGTGTGGCGGTGCCCTTTATCATATAGTTCCACATTCTCACTGAGCAATGCAGGTCTCCATTTGGGCTGTGTCTTGGGAACTGATGCCAGCCTCGAGTTAGTTCTTTACCTGTATGGCACAGTGGACTTGTTCCTTAATGGGTCTACCCCTTCGAATTTAAATAGAGTGTTCTCTCTTGAATGACTATACTTGTATCCTCTGTCCATCTTTTCTTTCTGCCCGCTTGTGTCTTTGACCTTTTCTTCATCATGCAAATAGTAATCTTACCTAATAATAGACAAACATGCAAACTGACCATACCTTCTCTATGCCCACCAGCCAATTGGATGAGTATGCAAATTACCCAAAAAAGATGGTGCTTAATTTGCATATGTAGGTGCCCAGCAGCCTGGGTCCCGAGAACATCATTGGCACCCAGGTCACTCCAAGGTAGGCCCTGTGTGGGCCCTGAGCAGCCTAGGAAGGGCCTGAGCCAAGGGGCTCCTGGGCAGGGCCGAGCCTCCTATCAGAGTCAAGGGGCGGAGCTGGCCATCGTAGCCAGTGCGGGGGTGTTGGGGCCTGCCCAAGCCTAAAGCCTGGGCCAGAGGCTTTAGGCCCGGGCAGGGGCCCAGCCTGCAATTGGTGTGAACTACAGAGGAAACACCTTTTCTGACCACTCATTGGCTAAGCTCCCTGTATGCCATTGGTAATATTCTTAGTAACTTGGGTAATAAGAATCCAAAAAGGTGATCTAGGGTTTTTACACACACTCCTGGAGAAAAAAACGAAGGTCTGCTGCTGGAGGGCTAAGAAATGTCATATCCTATGAAACACACATCTTTAAAATGCCTAAAGAAAGTTGTCCATTTTTTCATGGTGAAGGGACTGGAGTTCGTGTTGATGAAAACACCTTGGTGACTGCGGTGACTGGCAGTGGCTGCAGCAGTGGGGTGATGGGGCTGCAGCCTTCCCCTCATCAGCCCTGTTACTTCCCACAAAAGGCAGCCAGACTGTGGCTTAGGCCTGCTCCCCAAGGGGAGCAGGCAGTGGGCCTAAGCCATCAGAACATCTCCTGAGGGCTCCCAGTACGTGAGAGGGGGCAGGCTGGGTTGAGGGACCCCCCTCCCCCCGTGCATGAATTTTATGCACTGGGCCCCTAGTCCTATTTAATAAAAGCCTAACATGCTAAGTGTCCCACCATTTGACTGTTTGACCAGTTGCTATGATGTGCACTGACCACGAAGGGGCAGATGCTCCAGTAGGTTAGCTTGCTGCTGGAGTCCGACCCATGCAGACTGGGCCAGCAGGGCCAGACACACCCTGGATCCTTCCTGCCTTCCCTCCTCGGCCCTGATCATGCACTGGTGGGGGCCCTCGGCCTGGCCTGCACCCTCTCGCAACCCAGGACCCATTGGGGGATGTTGCAACACTGGTTTTGGCCCAATTCCCACAGGCCAGGCTGAGGGACCCCACTGGTGCACAAATCCGTGCAGCAGGCAAATGGTCAGTAAATCAACAAACAAGTGCTGGCAAGGATGTGAAGAAAAGTAGTACACTGATGGTGGGAATGCAGACTGGGGCAGCCACTGTGGAAAACACTATGGAGTATCCTAAAAAAATTAAAAATGAATTTGTGATTTGACCCAGTGATCCCAGTTCTGGGAATATATCTTACAATTACCAAAACTCCAATCAAAAAGAATATATGCACCCCTATGTTAATAGCCATATTATTTACAATAACTAAGATCTGGAAACAGCCCAAGTGTTCATCAGTAGATGAGTGGATAAAAAAGCTGTGGTACATTTACACAATGGAATACTACTTGCCTGTAAAAAAGAAGGATCTCTTACCCTTTGAGACAGTATGCATGGATCTCAAGTGTATTATGCTAAGCAAAGTAAGCCAGTTAAAGAAAGGCAAATATTATATAATCTCACTTATATGTGTAATCTAAAGTACAAAATAAACTGATGAACAAAATAGGGCCAGAAGTTTGGATGCTTGGAACAGAGTAACAGACCTCTGGGGGTGGAGTTCGGGGTCGGGGTAATAGGAGAGGTGGGAGATTAACCAAAGAACATACCTATATGCATATATGCATAACTAACAGAGATAGACAATAGCATGTGGAAGACCTGAGGTAGGACAAGGGTTGTGTGGAGGGGGGCAAAATGGGAGACAATAAGAGACATCTGTAATACTGTCAACAATAAAAAAAGAACATAACTTTTTCCCCAAGAGGTTTTTGTTTAAAATCAGAAGTGGGTTTTTTAAATCAAATACCTTTTTAGTACCTATTAAGATAATCATGTTAGTTCCATTTTATATTTCTGGTTTTACTCTTTTTACTACTCACTCTTTGTATATCATCAGCTATATTTTATGTATTCTTTTGAGCCACATTAAATACTTTCTGGATACTGTATGAATAATATAGATAGCATGTATTATATTAATAGATTTCCTAATACACAACAATTCTTCCATTTTTGTATTAAACCTCACCTGTAGATGTCATATTAGTATTTTAATGTATTGTTGAATTAGTATTTTTGTGCCTATATTTGTGAGTAAAGTTTGTCTGTTGTAAGGGTTCTAAACTCAAATGATTATAAAAAGCATGGAGGCTATAAAGTGCTGGGGACTGTGACAAATGAAATAGTTCAGTGCCAACTAATTGTTGTAAGGTGGGACTATAGAACCAGTATGGCCAGATCTAATTTTTTGAGAAGCCATAAATATATGCTAAATCTCTCAGGTTTTAAATGCTGCCATCTAATTATATATATTACTTATTTGAGGATATATTTTTATTTATTTATTTATCTATTTATTTATTCTTGAGAAGGGGAGAGAGAAGCATAGATGTGAGAGAGAAACATCCGTCAATTGCCTCCTGTATGCACCCCAACCAGGAATTGAACCCAAAACCTTGGTATGGGTACCCTGACCGGAAATAGAACCTGCAACCAGCCAGGGCTAATTCTAATTGTTTAAAAAACCAATATGGGCAGCCCTGGCTGGTGTCAGTAGTTGCCTGCACACTAAAGGCTCATGGTTTCAATCCCTAGTCAAGGGCAGGTACCTGGGTTGCAGGTGTGATCTCTAGCCCTGAGGCACTTGCAGGCAACTACCTTGGTTGCAGGCTCCTCCCTGACCCAGACCCTGGTCGGAGGCAACCAATGGATGTGTTTTCTCTCACATTGATATCTCTCTCTCTCCTTCCCCTTCCCTTCCACTCTCTAAAAATCAATGGAAAAAATATCCTCGGTGAGGACTAACAAAAAAACAAGCCCCATATGGGCAACTCAACAGAAAACTAAATAAACACAAACTTTCACAGCATCTGAGAGCTGGATCTGGCCTGTGACTGCCAGTTTTCCATCTCTGGAATAGTTGTTTTCTTTTTTGAATTTTGACTATTTTTTTTCTTTAGAAAAAATTATATAGCATCATTCACAAATTTAATAGTCAAATTTAAGGATGTCCCTCTTAAGTTAAAATTTTAAATTGTCTATTACTTGATGTTGTCTATAAATACAAACAGAACAAGATATATTAAAGTCACATTCCTATCCAACTACTTGAGAACTTTCATTATATAAAAAAAATTATATCACATTTTACTTAGCAAAAATGTTAAAGAAATTTTTTTTTTTTTTACATTTTAAAGAATATCTGAGAGTCAGGACATATACAGTCCAATCTCTGTATATGCGATGAGTCTGTAGAATGATATTCCACTAAACAAAGGAATAATCCAAGAGCCCACTACAAAATATTTAGTCTTCAAGGAAATATTGTTGATTTTAGCATTCTTATTTGCTAATGTAAGAAATATTTTCCACAGTAAATTTTGGGGATTAATCAGGTACTATAAAGCATAATTCCTCATTCCCTCAACTCACTGATTAAAATAAAAATTTTACTATAACTAAGTTTTAGATGTATTAAAGTCCATATTGCTCATTCAGTATATTGTTTTACATTTTTTAAATAGAACAGCGGAAGTTAAATCACCTAGCCCTAAAATATCCACTTTTCCTTTAAAATATACTACAAACAACAACTCCTTACAAAAATGTCTGATGTGAATTTCTTAGCCTGAGTAAACTTGCTTTTCACATGAGCTAACATCAACATGCAGTTTTTTAAATCATTTTAAATATTTAATTACAAAAGTGAGCACTGCCTTTTTTTTCTCTTTTAGACACACACACACAGGTCTAATGGCCAGAATGTGCAAAGGAAGTGAGCTCCTGCTCTGCCCTCCACAGTACCCATCCTGTGGTTAAAACTGCTGCTGGCCCTCCCTCTTTTCCAACATACATAGAAATTCACAGTGGCTGCTTTTACACTACACATGTAATGCATTTTGTATTTCATATAGTGTGCATGTCAAAACAAAACCGTCATTAATGGTCAGGGGTCCATCCTTCCCACTGGCATCAGTTCCTACTCCACAAGCAGACACTGAGGAGACCTTCTGGTTAGGAGTAATTTAGTGAGAGGCGGGATGGCCGAAGTTGGAGTGACCATCTGCATCGATGCACTCTGGTGTCAGAGTGAGGAGAAAAGTCAGGAAAGCTTGGAGGGCTCAGTTGCAAGTTGGGAGTCTCTCCATGAGACAATGAAGGGGAAATTTTCCCAACCAGGTTTTTTTTTGTGCCGAAAAAGAAAAAAAAATCAGCAGTTCAAACAGTATTGAATTTTCAAACTTCTCCCACCAAGATAGGTCAAATATAGCAGTAACAATCTAGATCTTTCCAGGAAGTGAAGGTAGAGCCCCTGGCATTCCTCCTGACAGCCCTGTGTTAGGCCCTAGTTCCTAGAAGTGTGGGGAGCCGATATAGGGTTAAGCCTCGGACTGACCTGTGGGCAAAGTCACAAACAATTCCCAGCTTAGAGGGCACAGTCCTCTTAGCATAATTAGGCTTGACCTTATAACACTCCCTAGATCTTATCTGGGAAGCTAATAGGCTGAGGAAGTGCAGGAAGTATAACCATGGTGTAAACAACTGAAACTCACAAGAACAAAAACAAGTGAAACTCACAAGAGCAGTGTAACTTTGGTAACAACTACCTTGTTTACCTCTCACTATAAAATAAAGGCTCAACTTGCCTTGGGATCTCTCTCTGTGATCTTAGCCAGGCACAGGAAGATCCACAGAGACTAAGGAAAGCTAGAGAGTTTTGAACGCTGTCTCCGAGTAAAACATTCT